CACTAATTGGAGTTTTTACTCACTTGTCCTCGCTTGTTCCAGGCGATTTATTGAATTGATGTAAATTTCATTTCTGATACTTTACCTTGATTTATTTTATCAAATTATTAATCACATCATCTGTAACAACACCTCATATTAGTCCACAAACTACTGCACTTTAACCAACACTTTCTAGTCAACTAAACACTACTTCTATAAACCTTTCCAAAACAAAATTCCCAGGCAATACTCCTGTTTATGAGTATGAATTACAGATAGTAACTGTTACCAAACACTAAAGCTTCATAGACATGTTGCATCAAGAGCAAAAACTAAACTTGCATGCTTTAATGACCATTAAAATCTAAACAGCAAATTTTTGTATCAGTTTTACTTGATAGAAATCCTCGTCATTCTCTGATGGCAGTGCTGATCTTTGAGAGGAAAAACAGAGAGACACTGACTTGGATTGGATGTGTGTGATGATGATGTTGTTATTGTCATGTTAGCATTGAATTGTAGGCGTGGCAGGAAAGATTGAAAGAAATGAATGGATGTAACATCACTTTTATTCAGATCATGTGATCAGTTCCATGGATGCCAACTTCCACCCCGACCTTGTATAAATGATTTGTTAAAAGGCAAATAAACAACGATTCCTATGATGACTTTCTTTTTAACTGAGTATGTCTGACTGAGGCAAGTGCTTTTTTGCACTGATGAACACCAAGAAGATTTTTAAAAGTCGGTAAAATACAGATTTTGTGTTGCAACTTACCCCAGTTGGGTACTGGGATGTAACAGTGAATTAATCATGTGAAATATTTGTAGTTGTAGGTAGGTGATAACATAAAAAGTGTAATAATCATCTAAATTTGACAAACTATTATATAGGAGTGACAAAACTATAGAGGCTCTGGTGCCTTGCTAGCAGGTTATATCAGGGCGACTCTCCAAAACATTCAGAGATTCATTATGCAACAGGAATATGCATGGCAAAAGCGAGGGAGTTAGACCTAGTGTTATGGCCCGGCTAGGCGTGGCCCGACCATAACATAAGGGCGATCCATCCCTGTCCAACCCCAAGCAGCACATCACGCAAATAATACTTTTTGGCAGTGATTTATTTACAATGAGTGAATTTAGAAACAAAGGAAGGGAGCAAGTTATAACTTGGGGGTGAGCCCAAGGCCAAAAAAACAAACAAAAGGGATCTCCGGGGTAAATCAAACTTACCTATTCAAAAGAATTAAACCAAACAACAATGACTTACCTCCCTACCTAACAAAAACAGGAGAAAACTGTATTCAAACAAAAAGGCGGTCCACCCTTACATGCTCCTACATTAAACAAACATTGCTAAACAGTGAACACAGTCTGCCGGTTGGGTTGGGCTGAGGATGAATCCCCTGAATCCCCTGGCAGTCCATGG